TGAATTTTCAAACTTGACAATTAGGGCAGTACACAGGATGATTTATGTTTTCAGAGAATTTGAGATTGAATCCAGTGGTCATTTTCTGCCAGTGGATCCACACTAAGCTTCTTGAAATGCTGATCCTAAGGACCTTCTGGAATGGGAAGGAGGGAGCAAAGGGAAATAGGGAAAAATTCCTGACAGAAAACAGCACTTTTAGTCATCCCTGTTCCCCCCCACCCCAGATCTAGGTAAGTGCTGGCGTTTTTCATGTGTTATTTACAAACACCATATCTTCTGAAGGGTAAATACCAGAATTTGTCTTCAGAGGAGGCAACCAACATTACATGTGTACAGGGCTCTACTGGTAGCAGGAGCTCCTTTGCATATTAGGCCACACACCCCTAGTGTAGCCAATCCTCCAAGAGCTTACAGTAGCCCCAGTAAGAAGAGCTCTGTAAGCTCTTGGAGGATTGGCTACACTGGGGGGTGTGGCCTAATATGCAAAGGAGCTCCTGCTACCAGTAGAGCCCTGCATGTGTATATGCATAACTAAGACATAAGGTTGACTGACTGCATGACAACAGCTTGAGTGATGAGTGGTCAGTTTAGACTTCAGGGAACAGCTTTAGATAGTGGATGACCATCCTCTGGTGTTGGATAATCAGCGCTGTATGAAATTTGGCATGAAGTGAGATTCATTGTGTTTTTAACAGTGTGTGTACTGCACTCAAAAACAGAACTTTCTCCTGTTGCTGTCAGTGGTTACTTCCAAAATCCTTTCTAAAGAGAATACTTCTGCTTTAGCATGGCTGTCTGCCTATTCTGGAAACCAGGTATAGTCTCTCCCCAGCCCAGTGGGACATGATTGAAAGCACCATAAGCAAAGACAGTTTCCATTAAACCAAATGATAAATTCATCATGTTTGACTACACTGCATCAGTACCTTTCAGCACTTGAGAAACCAAGTTTTAAGGAAAGATCAAGATGTCTTGTAAAATGTGTTGATTTTCCCCACTCTTCCCTAGTAGAGTATCAATTACCCAGTTATTTTCATAGATTTAATTACAGTGCAGAGGATGATCATCTCCCTTCTTTCCCTGCTTGCAAAGTTCCTTGGGCTTCCTCTGGCAGCTATTGAATGCTGGATCTGTCCTAGGGCTTGGCCGCTTGAAATTGGACTTAAGCTAAAATTCTTTCTTCAGATACCTGGATTATCAACCAGGAGAGAAGGTAGGGAGAGACCTGGCTTAATATAATTTTCTATAAATAGACAAAGTTATACAGAGATTGGGCAGTGCTGGCCCTGGAACAAAGTGCTTCACAGACAGAGATCTGGAACCTTTTGAAATAACAGTTGTCTGAAATGCTTGTTACATCTTAATTATCAATCAGAACAGATGGGAAATTGGTTTTAAACCAGGACAGAGTTTGGGCTAGTGATCTTTCTTGATTTGTGAAATCATAACCAGCAATCCTGTTTTCGTTTCAGGACAACAACAAGTATGCAATGTCTGGTGACACTCGGACTCAGCTGAGGTTTCTTGAAAAACTAGATCACATGGAGAAGGAGAGAAAGGATGAAGAACAACGGGAAATGTTGCTTCGAGCAGCCAAGGTAAGAGAATTTGAAAGGGTTGCCACTCACAAGACCTAGAGCATTGGAACACCCTAAACCTTCCTTCTGAATATTTTCTAGGTTTAAGTGCTACAGTGATGGGTCCATGTAAGGGACAGTATTTAGACATCAGAGGGGCCCCTCAGTTGTGGAGTCTGTAGATTCTCAAAGTTTAGTGCAGAAGATGAGACTCTAACAAGGTTTCATAGCAGGAAGGAAAAGCCCAGGGAGCCCTTACACACACAAACACCCAAGATCCGGAGTCCATATCAGCGGGGGGTTTCATATTGTAAGAAGTCTTACTAATATAGCAGAAGTCTTATTAATATAGAAACAATCAAAATATATAATTCTGAAGAATGGACCCTAGAGTACTGATAAAAAATCTACACAATAGGATGATGCACAGGTAAGAGGGATTTTTCTGCAAACCTGAGGGACCACTCCCAGGTTTGCAGAAAACCTGAAAGCCTAAAAAAGAGGGATTTAAAAATCCTTAAAGTTAAAGGTTAAAAATGAGATTTCACGGTAACGTTGTGAGATCTCAGCTGTCATTATGAGGGTTGCCTAGCTACCCCTGTGAATGGTGGTGCAGCATGTGGCAGCAGTGCCGGGGTGCAAGGGGAAAAGGAGTAGGGGAGAGTCTGTGCCAGCAAAAGTGATGGAAACAGAGGGAGGGACCAGTGGTGGCAAGAACAGCAGAGGACATGGCAGTGGTGGAGGGAGGGTTGGAAGATACAAGACATGGTCCGGAGGAAGAATGACTCCCCCCCTCACACAATAAACTATGGTTCATTATTATCAAAGAAACTAAGGAGAAAGGTGAACATATCTCAAGGTTGGCTCCAGAGTCTGTAGGAGGCCAACATTAATATATGCAGTGGATCACTGTCTTCAGTCCTTTAAAATAACCGTGTAAATTGGTCAGTTTTACAGACATATTAGAGAAGGTTGGAGCTGCCTGATAATAGCATCTTGCTAAAGGGTGCCCAGTGAGTACATGACTGCACTGACATTTGAATGGGAAACTTCCGGCTCACATCTGTAAGAGTTCAGCTTCTACATAGGGATTTTTTCTTCCTCAGCTTCGTCTGAGAGATCCCGTTGATAGTTAGAGCTCCAGTATAAAATGTAGCCAGTTATTGTAACCTTTGTAAATGACATTTCAGAATCTCCATACATATCTAGAATGAGAGCTAAAATTGGTTACTTAAGGAAGACTGCTGTACTCAACTAAAAAATGGATCTTTCTCTTCCCCCTTAGTGTCCCCCCCCTCCCAGTCTGTTGCTGACATGAACATCATCACGCTTAGACTGGACCTGACTGACAATGTTAGCATCATTTTTAGTTTGTTTCCTCTGGGCTAGAACAGAGGCAGCAGTCCCTGGTGAAGGGAGTGTTGTAGGGAGCCAGTCTGGACTGAGGCATTAAGCCCCTACAGCTAAACTTTCCGATCAAAAGGGAAAATGGTGAATTATTAAATATTTAAGGATATGTTGTATATGCTGTGTTTAGCTGTTAGTAATTTGTATTAACTTTCTTTTTTTGATAGAGCCGTTCCAATAAAGAAGATCCAGAACAGCTGCGATTGAAGCAGAAAGCAAAGGAGGTAGGACTTTTCAAGTTACCATGCTTGCCTTTGTGTTTTTGAGGGAAGATTGGCAGCCCTCTCCTGGCAATTAGGTCAGGGTTTATTTTGCTGTTGCATACCATTTGCAGAGGCCTTGGGGAAGGACAGGAACTGCTACAGGCAAGGGCAGCACTTCAAATGAGGTCAATGAATTATGAGCTCTTAACATTTTATTTTCATAGTTTACAAAGCGCTGTTTCTAGACAGGCCTAAACTATAGCAATGTGCTTGGTAGGAATATAATGTGGGATTAGAAAAAAAAAAGACACTTTGAGATTTAGCATCTGGGACCGTACAATAGGCTACATTTTTCCAGGGTAATTGTTCATTTTGTAAATCTGATACTGCTTATAATTCTTTGGCTGGGAGGCGGTACTGGGATTTAGTTTTAAATGGAAAACGCCTCTGGCTTTTAATTTTCTGGGCCCAGCAGTTTTCTGTTCTGGAATGGAGCCCTTGTTTCACACAGTTCATGTTTAGCTGCAGGGGTTTTAGTTTATAGCTTAGACTGGTTAAGCTTTTACTCCCAGAGGCCTCTGCATAGCAACTGCAGAAATCAACAAATAAGTTCATTTATGTCTGCTGCAGCCTCCTCTCAGTAGCTGACTTTTTACATTTCCCAATATCCATTTCCTGACTTTTCTAGCCGGAGAGAAAAAAGCTCCACTAATTGGAGCTTATTTTAATTGAGCCTTAATATTGGATCTCACTGGAGTTGCCCCCAGAGCTAGTGGGAACAGAATTAAATGAAAATACCTAAGGTTGAAGACTGTGTGAGTGAGAATTTTTTTTTACTTGACCTACAGATTCTTTTCCCCACTGAATAAATCAAGCCTGTTCACATTTCTGATTAAGGATCTGACAGCAGACAATAATAAAGACAATTGAGGTGTGAGATGTGTGATACAGAGCTGAAGAAATTGGTTTCTATAGTTACTTGACTGATTTCATGCCATTTTAAAGGATCTCTGTGGTAAATGAATGATTTTTTTTCCTGAGCAACCTTTTTCTTAACTGTGCCTCTTGAACTATGAAATTTGTTGTTGCTTAACATTGCCACGGTTGGCTTCTAGGTGCCAATAGCAGCAGCAGCAGGTTATTTATGAATGCTATAAAGTCCCTTATTGTTTGGATTAATGTAGGAGCTGAGGCAAAACAAACGGCAATCCAGAAAAATGGTTTCAAAATCAGTTTCAAAATCAGTTCAACCAAAGTAGAAGAAATTCTACAAAATAGAAGAGCAGAAAAGAAGGAACTGGGCTTTTCCCATCAGAATTTGTGTTTGTGCAAATGGAAATCATGTGCAATTTATAGTCTCGGCCCATCGGTGTTTTTGTACCACTGGCTGCTGAAAATCTGTATTCTTTCCCCAAGACTCATGGTACTCACACTAGAATATTCTACTGAAAATATTCCTTGAGCCTTTACATACTATAGTGACATAACACAATAGTCAGTCATTCTAACACAACCAAGTGTACAGTGGAATACTGGCGGGAAGGTTGTATTAGTTTAGGCAAGAAACAGCAGCACAAGCAAGAAGTTTTTTGCAGTGGATGCAGAGAATAAAAGAGTGCTTCCGTTGGGGGCCTGAGCACTGCCCATACTGTCTGCGTTCTGCTTAACTAGGATAAGGCACACTGGAATAACTCCTTTCAGATAGCCTCAGCTGTTGCATTTCAGGTGTGTGTTGGGAGGGGGAATAATTTGAAATATTGGGATAAAGCTATTTCTGTCAACACAAAGCATATTCAAGTCAGAGCTGGTAGTTTTTAGGTTCAGAGCTGGAAATTTTGCATATGAATAGTCACAGTGATGTCTGTACACAGGATACAGTGCAGAAAATGCTGTACTATAAACAATCCCGCTGCCTTCCCACCTTGTCCCTAAGTTAAGCCCTGGCGGTATGTTTAATGGGGAAAATGCTTGAATCTTTTACTGTGTGGTTTTTACTATACATACCAAACAATCAGCTCCCAATATCATACTGTAATATAGAACTTTGGATATCTCATTATCCACCCATCCTTGACAAAATTGTTATCATGTTGACAAAGTGAAAGAAACTGGGGATGCAGCTAAAAGAGAAAGATAATTATTAAACCAGTCACACATTGCCTAAGTAAAATAGCATCTTAATAGGGAAGTGCACCAGAAAAAAAGCATTTTTCAGATCTGGATTTTGCAGAGGGCCAGTACCAGTTCAATATTCAAATTTGGGGAGGGGTCAGAATTTTGAAATTATTTGGGTCCATTATTCCCTATGGGCAATCTTTCTGGGGGGCTGAAGTGGTTGTTTTCCAAGAAAATGACACCAAAATTGCCACAAAGCTAGTGCTGCTTGGACACTAAAGAATCTCCAAGGTTCAAGTATATTGAACTAAGGGATCTAATTCTATTGGACCCTAAACAAAGTTCCCCAACCATCCTCCTTTGTTTCCTCTGGGGGAAAAATTGTATGCTTTCTGCAGGACAATAGCCATGTATGCAAGAGCAAGCAACCAATGGCCAAAGACTCTGAATGCAAACAGAACCAACAAGCCTAACAGAACAAATGTCAAACTAGAGAATCCCAGCAGAGCAACAGGTCAGTGTGGCAAACCCAACACATACAGTGTCAGATCAGAGAATCCAAGCCAAAACAACTGAAGCAAGGGGAGGGACTTTTATTTTCAGCCCAATAGAACCAGCATCAAATCACAGAAGCCAAGTAAAATCCAAGGTCAGTTTTGCAGTACAAGCCCAACAGCACTGAAGTTAAACCAGAGAATCCCAGTAAAAGCTTGGCAAGCTTCTCCTAACATGTGATCTCATTTGCTTGTGAGAACTTCCTTCCTTCCCTAACCTACAAAAAAAATAATAATCACCCAAGTCTGGCACTTTAAAATGCTTTTCACGGATATTCCCAGATATTCCCGAATATTTTGGATCAGGATACTGTTATTGCCGAGATTCCTGAATATCAACCTGAATATACCCTAAAAATACTTATAAGGTATTTTTGGGTATATATTTGGACCAGATATATCTGAGCACTCATCCCGACAGCTGAATGTATTGTTAACATGTATATATAACTTACAAGGGGAAGCCACTCTGTTTAATACTGGGTGGTACTCAGGATCTGGTTAGAGATGTAATTTTGGCAAAATGCTTGGGAGCACAGACCATAATGCATAATACTAGCAACTTCAACGTATATTCAAATGAAAATTTGCTTAAAAGTCCAATACAATTATCCTTGATTTCGAGAGGGAACTTTGACAAATGAGGGGATTAGATAAAATGGAAGGAATTGTATATTGTATGCCGCCATCATTATTATTATCAACATCATCATTGGCACGGTTAATGGTTGTTTGCATTTATTCTGTATTTTAATGTATTTATTGTTTTAATGTTAGCCGCCTTGAGCCAGCTCTGTGGCAAGGCGGGATATAAATCGAAATAATAAATAAATAAGGAAGGCTCAGAAGTTTAATAAAGCTTAAAACAACTGCATTAGAGGAGCAAATACTTCCTTTGAAGGTTAGGAATAAGTCCAAGTGAATAACAGCATATTTAAATGGTGGCCCCACTGTGGACCTCCTGATGGCACTGGTATGACGGGATGGGCCTTTGGCCTGATCCAACTTTGGCGTCTCTTATGTTCTTAAATACAAGTATCAAGGGAACCATAAAAACCAGATAACTGGACAGTGGCATGGTAGGATATTTTAGATAATTGTGAAAGTTATATTGGAGGTCAGGAAGATTAAATATTTTGAATTCTTTGCATTGGTGGAAAATTGGGGGGGCAGAGGCCCATGTCCAGACTATTTTTTTCTCAGATGGTATGAAAAGTTATGTCAACTCAAGGTTATAAAGGACGAAGTTGTAAAGGTAACTGATATATGGTAATATTATCATAAAGTCTTTGAAGAACTGAAATATAAGGTTGCTGAATATTAACAGATGTGCAGCTGATGTTTAACTTATCATCTTACCCATGTTTTGTAGAGAACTAATGTAACAGCAGTTTCCAAAAAAATGGTTTCCATGAGGTAATCTGGGGAATTAGGCCTGTCAGGAAAGTTAGTAGAACTGCTAAACACCAAGCATAACCCTAGATACATTTAAACCGCTATCCACTTATGAAGGTAGAAAGCCAGCAGTGGAGTGGGGGCTATCCAGTGTTTTGCAGAGAGTGCCACACGCACGATTATCTGTCCACTGGGTGGAAATCATGGGTGTGTGCTCGCTGCATGGAGTTCGTGGCTCACAGGGAGTCAGTTCGTACCATTGAGGCTAGGGTTGCCAACCTGGAGAAACTGAGACAGAGAAAAGACCCTCAGGGACTTGCCAGACCAGTCCCACTCCTGTGCTGATAGCTCTTCTGCTGTTGTGGAGAGAGAGTCTCGAGGTCAGAGGGCATCTGAGGAGGAGGGATGTGAGTCCTTAGAAGGAACCCCTTCCTTGGGGGATGGACTGATATCCTCTCATACCAAGGATACCCCAGGGGGCTGGAGGGAGGTGGGCTTCTGGTAGTGGGTGATTTAATCATTAGGAATATAGAGTGTGGTCTGTGACAAGCGTTTTGACTGCATGGCGACTTGCCTGCCTGGTGCAAAGATTGTGGACATCACACACTGTCTAGATAGGTTGATAGGTAATGCTGGGGAGGAGTTGGCAGCAGTGACATTGGGAAATGTAGTTGTGTGGTCCTGGAGGAAAAATTAGGTAACTAGGCAGAAAGTGAAAAGCCAGGGCCTCAAAGGTAGCATTCTCAAAAGTGCTGTCAGTTCTATGTGCAGGCACAGACAGGCACAGATCAGGGGTCTCAATGCATGGATGAGAAAGTGGTGCTGGGAGGAAGAGTTTACATTTGCTAGGCACTAGAGAACTTTCTGGGACAAGCCGAGTTGGGCTTAACTTGAACCAAAAGGGAACCAGGCTGCTGGTGATTTAATATCAAAAAGGTGGCAGAGCAGCTTTTAAAC